AAGTGTCTCGAATTAATATCTTGGACGCGGTATAATTCAACTAGTAAGAATCATAGAAATAATAAGAATAGAACAATAATGTAATAAAGCTGTTTTTAACAATTTTTTTAATGTGAAAATACAAATATAATTTCAATTAATGTATTCATAAATAAATAATTATATCATTTAATAGCAGCATTATTATTAAACAGCATCAGCTTTATTCAATCAGTAGGAACAGAACAATGAGATAATAAAGTTATTTTTAACATTTTATTTAATGTAAAAATACAAATACAAATAAATTTTAATAGTATTCATAATTAAACATATCCTCTAATTTACTTATAAATACATTAAAATGATATAAGTAAATTATATCATTTAATAGCAGCATGCCTAGTCATAGTTTTACTACTATATAATTCTTATTTCGTAATCGTCCTTTGTTGCAATCAATTTTTATGCGAAATGTAATATACCGTTTCATTATTTTATCGAATAGTGCAGTACCACATCAATCACATCACGTTTTTGGTTATGTACGAAGACGCCATGTTTTGTCGAACTAGACCAAAGAACTAGACCTTGGCCAGACTCTTAGTATAGAGACTCTAGTTTGGATTCTTACCATCTCATTTTATCTTACGGCAAGATGGCCGATGCTGTCAAGACTGTAAGATAGAATGAGACAGTTATAACCTCATTCTATCATACAGAAAAATAATCAGTTTACTGTTTTGAGCTTTTGAGTGTAATGCAAAATTAAGAAAATACAATAAATTAAAAAGTGCAATGAATAAATTATTATATTTTTATCTAACGTTTATACGTATATTTTTCATATAAACAAAATATAATTATATAGATATATATATATGCGCAGTATATTATTTTATTTAATTTAGATACTATTTATTTATTAAATAATTCTAAACTATTAAATTCAACTATATTTTGTAAAAAAAATCGATTTTAGAGGTATGTAACATGTGGGAAAGAGATAAGAAATAAAAACAAATTTATAAAGTTAAAATTTATTGATGCTTAAAGAGAATTAGTTTATTAAGTTTGCATCTAATTCTTTCTATTTTATAATTTTTGGATGCACACATATGTCGTAATCTTAACTGAAAGTATACATATAAAATGAGTTTTATAACACTTGTCCTATGATCTTGTAATGGTGCTTGTTCCAGCATATGTAATACATTATCAAATATATTTGATGTTATTTGAGAAAGAGCAATTACAATCATTTTTTGTATTGGAAACTGTATTTTTAATATGTTCGGATACCCTCTTATTATTTTTTCAGCAATGCAACAGATTTTTATTACATCATTTGATGCTGCAGTTAAACCTCCTCTGCATTTTCTTTTTTGTAAAGCTGACATATTATCGGTGCCAAACAATAAATGTTTACAAATTTGGCA